CAATTACTATTAGCAGAAATTAAAGCTGAACCCCAGAAAATAATACATTAGAGTAAGGGAAATGGCCTTGAAAGACTCTATGTGCTAGAAAGTACTGGATATGTTTAGCTTCTTGGCAGGCTAGATTTACGGTAATGGAAACAGAATAATTTCCTTGCCCACAAAGGTTTAAAATTGTGATACTGTTTTGCTTTCCCTGTAATCTACTATAAATGTCTTAATATGATGCTTTTATTGGAACTTCACTTTTTAAAACCACTTTCTTAAAGGGAGAAAAAAAAAGATAAGGAAATGATAATATGATGGTTTCTGTAAATGTTTTGTATAACACTTAGCCAGAAGGACTTGACTATTTAAACTGTGTTCATCAGTTTGGATCATTTGATTGATTATCTGGCAATGAGTGCTGGTAAACAGATTGATGTTCTGTTTCTTGGACTCTGTTTCTCATGCAGAAATTATTAGCTGGCTATTTTGAGACTGAGAAAATCATTAGCTTTATAAATAAAAAGACTCATTATGGCTTAATTAGTAGAGTTTTTGCAAGCACTTTGAGTACTTCTCTAAGTTCTCAAATCTCTGCATAGCATGGGCTTGTTTACCGGATCTTCTGTTCTGGATGCTTTTCTTTTAATCTGCAATTGTATGTTTTTCTAACCTAACATCTTAAGGATGGAGATCGAAGGAGGTGATCCTCCATCTCTACTCTTCTTTCATGAGACCTCACTTGGAGTACTGTGTGCAGTTCTGGTGTCCTCAACATAAAAAGGACATGGAGCTGTCGGAACAAGTCTGGAGGAGGGCCATGAGGATGATCAGGGGACTGGAGCACCTCCCGTATGAAGACAGGCTGAGAAAGTTGGGGCTGTTCAGCCTGGAGAAGAGAAGGCTGCGTAGAGACCTCATAGCAGCCTTCCAGTATCTGAAGGGGGCCTATAGGGATGCTGGGGAGGGACTCTTCATCAGGGACTGTAGTGACAGGACAAGGGGTAGCGGGTTAAAACTTAAACAGGGGATGTTTAGATTGGATACAAGGAGGAAGTTCTTTACTGTGAGGGTGGTGAGGTACTGGAATGGGTTGCCCAGGGAAGCTGTGAATGCTCCATCCCTGGTGGTGTTCAAGGCCAGGTTGGATGAGGCCTTGGGTGAGATGGTTTAGTGTGAGGTGTCCCTGCCCATGGCAGGGGGGTTGGAACTTGATGACCTTAAGGTCCTTTCCAACCCTAACTATTCTATACTTCTGTGATTGTCATCAGATTCATATGAAGTGCTGTGGAAAGTTGGAAGCAAAACTTCTGCTTTTCAGAAGACTAATCTAGAAAAGTTGCCACACAAACGTTATTACAAATACCATAAAATTTTGTTACATTTTTCATTAAAAAGTCAAGCATAGCTGCTCAGCTGACTGGCAAAGTGAATACTGACTAATATCATCCTGTGGAACCAGCATACATTCTAGTTCAAGTATTCCAATTGTGATTTAGTATTCAGTAGAATAAGCGACTGCCAGATGTAGAAAGCTTATTGCATGTTTTGACTTGGGTTTTTTTTTTTAGTTTTTTGTTGGTTTAGGGTTTTTTTAGTGTGTTTTGTTATCAGATCTGTTCTTATTGTATGCCTTTTCTTGTGTCTGGATGAGGCTGGCTGATCAGTTTGCTGCACAGTGTTTGTTGCATGCATAAATGAGATCTGCATAATGGATACCAGCGTGTGAAATAAGATTACTTCACTTTTGTGTTTCATTATATCAGTAGCAACATACAAGCCAGAAAACCCATTGAAGGCACAAACCTCATGCAAGATTAAATGTTCCAATTAACAACAACAAAAAAAAGATCTGTGCAGGAAAATGAAGGCGTGCAGGAAAATGAAGGCATGCAGGAACATAAGCTTGAACTCAGTTAACTAATTTTTTTTACACAGTTTTGGAGAAATGAGATGATGAGGATGGCTAATACAATTTATTCCATAAGCAAAATTGTCAATGTTCATTAGCATTTGTGCAGAGGACCTGCAGTTGACAGAAATGCATTCTAGATGTGGTAGGAAAAAAGCCCTAACTGATAAAAATACTTTGGGGATGTTTTTAAAATTAAATACGGAAATTCATGTCATACAACTCCAGTTTTAAGTGTAAATATCATTTCTGCTGCAATATTTAGCCTGATTAATAATCTTCATATTTTAGTTACTGAATAAAGAATAGAGCATGTAATCACGTGTTGTCATTTATATTTTGTCAGCTATAGCATGCTGCTTTATTGCATGGATAGCAATTATGCATAGGCAGAAAGGATAATAAGCAGCATTTTTAATACAGTGTATTTTGAAGTCCTGAAGCATAAATTCTTCAGAATAATCACAGAATGCTTGAGGTTAGAAGGCATCACCGGTGGTCATCTAGTTCAATCTCCCTGCACAAGCAGGGTCACCTAAGCACATTCCTCAAGGCTGTATGCAGATGGCTCTTGAATGTCTCCAGGGAAGGAGACTCCACCACCTCTCTGAATAACCTATTGCAATGCTCAGTCCCCCTCATGGTAAATTTCTTCCTCGTGCCCAGGTGGAACTTCCTGTGGTTTAGTTTATACCCACTGCATCTTGTCCTGTCTCTTGACACCACCAAGAAGAGTCTTGCCCCATCCTCTTGACGCTCTCCCTTCAGATACTTACACATATTGATCAGATCCCTCTAGAACCTTCTCTTCTCTAGGCTGAACAGGTCCAGCTCCCTCAGCCTTTCTTCATAAGAGATTCTCCAGACCTTCAGTCTCCTGTCTGGATTGGAGATCTTGGCTGGACTTAGTCCAGATGCTCCATGTCTCTCTTGTACTGTGGAGCTCAGAACTGGATGCAGTGCTCCAAGTGGGGTGTTGCTAGGGCTGAGTAGAGAGGGAGTATCACCTTCCTTGACCTGCTGGAAATGCTTTTCCTAATGCAGTCCCAGAAACCATGGGCCTTCTTGGCCACAAGGACATGTTGATGGCTCATGGACAGCTTGATGTCCACCAGGATCCCAAGGTCTCTCTCCTAAAAGCAAACAAGCAAAAAAGCTCAATGAAAAATGTTTAGTATGGTTTGTGTTACTATGCCATGCTTATGCAAATTTAACCATCTAGTTAAAATTTTTAGATGCTAAGTTTCACTCATTTAGAAACTTAGATTTTTTTTTCTAGGAAGTTTCACTGCATTTGGCCCAAGATCACTCATGTTAAATCAAATCTCTGGGCAAAGCACCTGCCAGCACATTGAGCATGCTAGAGAATATAAAAATACACACGTAGTTTCAGGAGCTGAATATTGATGGAAGCATCATCTTCCCTGTCTTGTGAGTACCTCCAGAGTCCTGTGTCCCCTAAATACTAGCAGTGGTCATGTTTGTGTGGTACAAGTGCATGTGCCAAACAAAACAGAACTGAAACTCTGCTGCTATAGGTTTCTGCCATAGCAGGGGCAGTAGCTCTCCTTTACAAGTTACTGACTTAACGAAGTTTCTAGGAAATTAAAATATTTTTGAGACCTTTTTAATAAATTTTGGCTAAATTTGACTAACAGTGGTTACAGGATGCAAGACCAATGGACAAGCAACTTAAGCAAAAAGTTTTATTTCCCAGAGGATGGTAATGCTAAAAGGCAATAAGCAACTTGGTTTTGACCAAAATGGGTTCAAAGCAGCAGTTGCTATGAAAGGGATGCATGCAGATATAAGAGTAACACAACTTCTGTTACTGATAAATGAAACACTTGGCTACTTGTGGTCTGAGAAATTCTGAGAAAATAAAATTGGAAAATGATGAATTACAGGGGCTAGTAATGCTCCTGCAGTTGCAGGTAACTAAAGGGAAGACTGGAGCCATGTTAAACCACAAGAGAGTATTTCAGTTTGTGGGTAAAAATGTAGTTCAAGAAGACGGGAGATGTTAAAATGTCTTGTCAGAGAGCCAGTAATCATGCCAAGGACTGTCAGTGGACAAAGGACATCAAAACCTGTTTTTTGAAGCACACAGCTACCCCCTTTTACCTTTGGATCAAGCTTAAATGCCAGTGTTAAAGAATTTTTTCAGAACTTTACTTATTGTGTTGATTTTGGGGACAAAGAATGTCTGAAGTGTAGAATAATACACTTCCTAATGCAAGCTCAAGCCTGATACGGCACAAATGAGGTGTCCAGCCTCTTGTTTCCTTATGTTGCAGGGACTGTGCTGTGTTGCAATGGACTCATCTTTGCCCATTTCTACAAGTATGCTCATGCTTCCTGCATTGCTCCGCTATGGAATGTGTTTTCCAAAATGAAATAATCAAATCCTTACATTGCTTTGTTTGATCTGTTTCTGCCTTGCTGCTCTTATTAACCATTATCAAAAGGAAGTTAATTTAGTATCAGTTTGTTTCATTTTCTTAAAGCAGCCTTAATATGTCCTCACCAAACTTACTATATAATATTTTTGCATACATTTTGGTGCAATTTTTTGACATACCCTACCCTCAACTCTCTTATCTGTACTTGAATTGTGACAGTTTTTTTAAACAGGGTTTGGATTACTTGTATTTAATAACTTTACAACACCTGGTGTAAGTAGAACTCTTAGTTAGGATCTGTGGATGTAATTGTAATACTGAAAAATGAAGAGGCTGAAGAGGTTAAAGGACTGCAGTAAGATCTATGTCTGTTTCAGAGCTGAGAGCTCTGAATCATATTCATGTGATTCTCCTTCAGGTACTTGAATATTGTGTGGTAAATGTTTTGCATTTCTTTTCCCTCTTCATGCCCCATTTGTAGTTACATTTTCTCATGGGATACAAACAGCTTCTGTGGACATCAGTGGGAATTATTCGTACTCTGTGAGTGGAGAGCAGAGCCCATGACTGGACTGAAGCCAGCGTTCTTTAAAAGTTCACATCTTGTATTTGCTCTCTAATTTAGAATCCTTCTAACCAAACAAGGGGGGGAGAATGTGAATAATAGCAGCTGTTTCAGTAAAAAAATCAAAGGGTTAACAGAACACGATGTAAACTGATGTAAACTGTTTCATCTGTTCTTCCTACTTGTCAGTTTTAATCAGAAATTAGTAAGTAGAGCTTATATGCAATGAACTTGAAGAATGCTAATGGGATGCCTGCATCATGTTGTACTCAGAGTACTTATGCCAGAATAGGAAAGCCTTTAATGCTGTAATTCTCTGAGGCAAGAAAGAGGCTTTCTGAAGAGTTACTTTAAATTTAAACTCTCATTCTAATGTTAGACAGCCTGTTGGATCTCTGAGTTAAAAATTGCTTCAGCTTTAGTTACTAGAGCCAGATGTAACATTGACCTTAAATGGTAAAAGCTCCCAAGAGTGAAAGAGAGGCTGGCCTGAAGGGAAAAAGAGGAATAACTGAAGTTTTAGGTAAGTAATCTCTGTAACTGAGAATAAGCTCTTTTTCAGCCGTGAAACAGAACGGAACCATGTTTCCTCCTTAAAGGTACAGTACCTTGTTGTTGTGATATTGAGTAGTTGGTTCTTTCCAACTTTCCTCCCCTACACCCTTCAAATTCTACCTCTTCTTCAGATTTTAGCTGCTTAAAAACTGAGTGTAGTTAATGAAATCTAGTGCACTGTATGTACTGTTTGGGAATGTACAAGAATGAAAAAGAAAAAGCTGTGTTAATTAGACGTGATTATTGAAGGTCCGTAGTCAGTAATTCAAGGCAGCCTGATTCACAGATACTGTTAGCTGTATTGGGCTAGAGTCTTAGTTAGCAGCAATAGGGAAACAGATTTATTTATTTTTTTTTTATTGCATGACTTTCCTTCCCACAAGCTTGCTTTTAACAGTGTCGGAGTTCATTTTGATGGATTACCTACTTGTGTCTGGAACTTATCTTTTAAAAAGGCACTTCCAGAGCTTTTTCTTTATGCTCTGTGTTTGGTTTTAATCCTATTAGATGTAAATTAATACCGTTAAGTGCGTCTAATTGGAATGTTGTACAGAAAAAAAAACCCAAACCAAATCAACCTTCAAAATGTTACAGCATTTTTGCTTTAATATGAAAAATCACAGTATTTACATTTCCTGGTATTTTGTTCTTCAGCTTTATCTGTGCCATTTGGTAGGTACTCTGCACTGAAACGTATTACATTTTCTTGGCAAATTAAAACACTTTTTGTCTTACTAATGTGTATGTTAACCTTTTTTTCTCAGACAGTAGTATGTAAACAACATGAAAGAAAGAGGTCAGTTCAAGGAAAGTGAAGGCTGGGGGTTCTGTTACTAACTGATATTAGTAACAACTTGTGTTAGTTGATTTTTCAAATTGTATATAGAATGATTGCATCTGGTGAAAAAGTCTTTTCAATCAGCTGCAAGATTCCATCTTTGAGGAGTGATTAGACAGTATCAGATGTATTTAAAGTTCTGAGCATAGACAGTGTTCCTGCAAGTGCTAACAGTTGCTGCAATTATATTTGATATGGTAGGTATTGTACACACTTTAAAGAAAGGTTACTTCATCCAGGTTCAAGAGAATGTGGTAAATGAGTCTTATTTGTTAAAGCATTTGAAATCCAGTTGCAAAACTTATTTAATTTTCCTTTTCTTTTCTCTGGACTATCATTGGTGAATAGCTTAGTTTTAGGTTTATCTCCTACCTAACCTTTATATTTTAGATCAATAATTCAAATCATTATTGAGATCAAATAATTCAAATTTAGATCAACCAAATATCCAAAATCAACAATTATACCGAACTTGGAGCGTGATAGTCTAACAATGCTACCCGTAGAAATCTAAGTTTATTAGAATTAACGCTGTAAATGGCACTAGGTGCCCCTGCCTTGGCAGGGGGTTTGGAACATATAATTTTCAGAGGTCCCTTCCAACCCTAACGATTCTGTGCAATTAAGAAACAGCCCAATATAGTAAATGCTGAATACTAGAGAGCCCTCCCTGTTTTAATAATCTTGTGGTTTTGTAGTTTCCAGAGCCACTCGTTCTGATTTGCTGGTCCGGCATGTGTTAGTTTACTTGTGACATTTTGTGCACCCCTTGTGCAAGGATATGCAACTTCAGATGGTGTTTAGAAGGTGTTTAAGTTTTAATTAGTTATTTTTAACTTTGTATATGGACTGAAATAACTATTCACTGTCTAACTCCTTCACTTCTGAACTAAATATATATTTCTAATATATCTTGTAGCATTTCAGCAAGTATTGTTCTTAATGCATCCAACCTTTTTTTTTGTTTGAATATATAATATAGTGCTATGTGTAAATTTGTCATCAATGAAGATGTTATAATGACAGGAAGTGTAATTTAATACAAAAAGTACAGGTTGCTCATTTGTACATAGTGAAAATTGTGTGTTAACATCAGCACTACGATAAAGTACATAGGATTGTCAATGTATTTCATTTATATAAATTCCTCTGCTTTACATCCATCTGAATTAAGCTCTAAATTGGTTGTGGACGTGAAACCTGAATATCTCACTACTGCCTATCTTCTTACACATTTGAGTCAGGCTTAATAGCTTTTATAGTTATAATTTTTTTCAATAGTTTTCTATAGTCCTATTTATTTGGGAGCAAAGCAGTGAAAGTTAAGTATTACCTCGGAGTCAGACTCATAGTTCCAGTCTTGAACACCAACCTCTTCCTTTCCATCCTTTCGAGCGATCCTTTCGATCAGTCTGCTTTCTGACGGCTTTCAGTGATAGTATGGTGTCAAACCACTTTTTGAAAAGCTGAGTTAGAGAGTATGGCAACTGAAGTATAGAGGGCTGAGAAGAGACAGATGTTGAAAGCTTATTTCAAGGATCATATATGTATGCTCTTTACATGTCATGTAGTTCTTTTGCTTCATCTATTTGCTCTTCTTAATGAAGTCTGTAAGTCCAGGAAAAAGAAGCATCAAATGGCTTGTGAGTGGAAGGGGAAAGAAAATCCATCCTATTTCAAGGTTTGTGGGCTATTAAAAGATCTGGGGTATTTATAGACAGAGAGAGATCTTTTCTGTCCTAAATTGCAGCCTTCCTGTAAACTAAGCAGAAGAATTTCCTTGTGGTGTGTTCTCCACTGGTACATCCTTTGAGAAGGGGGTTGAAGAGATGGTTTGGATCTCAGTATCACTGACAGAAAATCTGAGTGGGTGGTGGATCTTTGTAAGCTTGTAAACTAGTGACTCAAGACATGAATTGTTGCTTATGTACATGTGGAGTTGTATGTTATGTAGAACTGTAACTGTTACTGTACCACTGAGAAATAATAACTCAGTTATTATTACCTGGAAAGTAGGTCCTAAGAATTCTGAAAAGGATAGAGTGATCTGATACTTAGAATAAGCGGACTTGTAGCCTCAGGTTTTGTTGGAGAGTTTAGGCTCTAAAGAATTCCTGGATTTAATCCTCTTCATTAGGTAGATGCAATATTTTTAAAATTTTTTTTTTTTTTACTTTTGTTTATTTCAATGTGTCTATTGTTACTTATAGAATCTGAAAAATAATTTGAGAAATTCAGTTTTATTTATGAATTACCAAATGTTTTAAGTACTGAAAGATTTAAACAGCAGTATACCCAACAGCACTGACATGTCACACCCACACTCTCCCCCACAAAAAAAATCAAAAATACCATCCACTAGAACTTTTGCCTGTCTTTAAAATGTACAAAACCCGAAGTCTTTTGGTATCACAAGTTACCAGGGACCCCTAATATTGTTGATGTGATCACCTGTGGGTTTGGATAAGTCAATCCTGTGGAATTTTATTTTATTTTATTTTATTTTATTTTTAATGCTAACATGAATTGCTTGGATCAGGGAGCATGAGAGAGGCAGGGAGGGAAACATGCAAACCTGGCAGCTGATGTATGTCAAGTTTGTATGTAAACCTGAAAGGTTTTTTCCCCAGCTAAGTGAATTATGTTTTGCTGAGTTCTGTCATGGTACAAAGTTATACTTTAGTTATATTTTAGTTATACTGTGCTGTCCCCTAATTTACCTGCAAATGCACTTGGTGATTGTCCAGCACAGCTTTCTCATAGCTATAAAATAGGGTCCACTGGGCTAGTTACTGCAATTTCGGCAAAGAACAAAGGAGTTAAAAAGTTGATATTACAAAGGACTGCATGAGGGAGCAATTTTATTTAGGAGTTGCACACTTTTTTTCTCACCAGTTGTAAGGATTTGCGTCCTGGAAATGAATACATGGTAGAAATTCTGTGCTGTTGGGTCAAGTGCAGCAATTAGTTTGTGCTAGGGGCTTGCCCTCAGAGTAAAATTACTGCTGTTTATATAATTCTGCAGAATGTTTTGTAACACTGGGGTTACACATGGGGAATTTGGCCCTGAGCCTTTGCTTTTGAACTCAACAGAAAAGTTTCCATTGACTTCAGTGGTGACAGATCAGGCTCTTCGCGAATACCACAAAGGTAAAGGCTACATTAGTTCTCAGGAAATGAAAGTCAGAAGTCTAGGAGAATTTGAATAGAAGCAGTGGGTCTATTTTCACCTATCTTATTTTGGACTTAGAGGCATGCACTAATAAATGGTAGGATCTATAGAATGAGATCTGTTTCTGAAATTTTGGAAGGAAAAAATCTGCTATTTCGTTTTCAAGTGCTCCCCTAGTTTCTCTGAAATGTCTTTGAAAAGGCCTTTTTAGAATGGGGCGTATGTTTGCAAGTAGTGGAATATAAATCAAGCGTGATACATCTATTAACATTTCCTGTTAAAACTTCCGAAGCTGTGCTGAACTGTTCTCTAACTGCTGAACAGAAAAAAATAACATGTCCAACCATAAGTTGAAGGAGAGCTTGTGGAGAGGAAGAGAAATAATTTAACAATGTATAAAAAAGCACATTTGCTTCACAATTTCAGCCACTGAATTTCCCTCAGTTTTCTTCTTAAATAGTGAATGTCTGTGACAGACCTCTGGGCTTATGAAAATAGCATGATTAACTAGGGGCATAAGTCACAATGGGGGGTGGAGTTCGCCCCTAGGAGGAGGTGCTAAGTCAATTTGGTTCTCTGCATGTCATCTCAGACTTTCCAATGCAAGTATAGTTGTGCCTATTATCTTGACTTCCTTGAGGGCTATTGCAGTTAAACTTATCATTCCTATTATTTGATAGGTGTAGTTATCAGCATTGCTGTAAAAGCTGTTTTCAGTAAGTGCCATAGTGGAGCAGACTGGAGAAAACCAAGCAGATGTGTCAGAATTCCTAAATACCTTGGACTCTTAAAGCAAGATTAGAAGACTTGAAAGGTGTCCTGTGTGAAAATATCTGAGAGATAGGGAGAAAGAATTTGTGGGATATATTCTAAAACATAACCATATAAACCTCGATTTTTATCTGCATGCTGAGTTTTTGGGACTTGCTTGAAATCTCTTCTGCATAAACCGCAACGT